AAAGTATAAAACTATCCCATATGCTACCATTTGAGTGGGAAAATAGTTATGTTTGCAAATAAAATATTTCTGAGAGGAAAAATATAATTGCAAAATTATTTCTGGAAGGACATTAAAACCCTAATTGCCTCTGGAGAGGGGAACTGCATGGCCAAGAGACCCAGGGTAGGAGAGAGAATTATTATATTTTAATTGTAAAGAGATCCCAAAAAAGTATAGACAACAATACAATGAATACCTGTGTGCCCACAACCCAGCTTTAAAAACCATTACTATTCTACTGAATCCCCATGTGTCCCTCTCCAGTCAGCCCTGGAGAGAACCACTGTCCTATGTTTGGAATTTATCATTCCCATGTATCTTATATATATACTATACTTTTAAGTATCCATAACCCATGTAAATTATTTTACATTATCTTATACATTTTCTTCTGCAATTTGCCTTTTTCACTGCTTTGCTATATTCATATTGATATGTGCAACTTAAGTTCATTTTCACTGATGTATAATATTCCACACCCAATGCATAATATAGCCACTATTGATGTATAATTTTCCAAGATGGCCACCAGATGATCTCTTATCCCACATTGCTTTTCTTATAATGAAACGCTGACATTCCTATCATTGAGAGGTAGGGTCTGTAGTCCCTCCCCTTGAATCTAAGTGGGCCCATGACTGGCAGAAGTGAAGCAATGTGACCCCTGACGCTAGGTGAGAAAAGGCAACACCGTTTCCCCTGCCTCTTTTGGGAAGCTGGCTCTCAGAGCCCAGCCACCGTGTTGTAAGGAAGCCCAGGCCACAGTGATGTGGGTATGTCAGGACACAGGAGCTGACTGAAAGAGTTCCCAATGGCCAAAGGTGGAATAATGTGGACAACTATTGGATCATAACCCAAAGAATAATGATCTGTGAGTCCATACTGATAAAAATAAAGGATTGGATAAGTTAATAAATATAGGGAAGAGACAAATGGCCTTTGCAGAGGAATGCCAAATCATACGTCAGTACTTTGCTCTCGAAGAGGTGGAGCATAAACTCCCAACTCTTTAGGTGTGGGCTGCATGGTGACGTCCTTTCAAAGAATCCAATATGGAAAGGGAGAAAGAAGGGTAATTTTTCACTGGAGAAACCCGACCAGTAGTAGGTAATCAAGCCAGGTGATCAAGGTTAATAAAAACAGTGATAAATGATGTGGGCAGTATATACCCCAGCCAATGTGATAAAATGGCGCTTTACCTCTGCACTCCTCCAAAAAACAGATGACCCCAGGCTGGTCGTGAGAAAAACATCAGACAAACCCCGACTGAGAGACAGCCTGTAATATACATGACCAGTGTTTTTCAAAACCATCAAGGTCCTCAAAAAACAAGTCTGAGGGACTGCCACAGACAAAGGGGCCTAAGGAGACGTGACAGCTCCTTACTTGTCAACAGATGTCTGACAGCATAAATGTAAAGTGGTATCCTGGAACAGAAAAAGATGTTAAAACTAAGGAAATCTGAATATGTATGGGCTTCAGTTAATACTAATGTATCAATATTAGTTAATTATAACAAATATGTCATTTGTACCAATGTAACATTAATAATAGGGGAAATGCAAAGTGGGGTATATGGGAATTCTGTACCAAATGTGCTTCTCAATTTTTCTGTAAATCTACAACTGCCCCCCCAAAGAATGTTACTGAAAAAAGAAAGAGAAGGTATTGCCTGTTTGATGAAGCATCTGAAGGCCTGGTTTGGAGCTTACAAGGCAGGAAAAGTTCAGTGTAGGTAAATGTCAGCCTTTCAAAGACAGGTCAATGAGTAAAATGCTCACCAAAGGAAGTCAGCTCAGATCCCCAAAGGAGGGAAAGGAGGGATCAAGGTCTGTGCAGCCCAACTCCTGGCCCGTCTCTGTGGCACCAGGCCCAGACACTGGAGGAAGGGGCGGCGAGGCTGGCCAGACCCCAGTGCCTAGCACAAGTACTCTGAGTTCCCGTGTTGCTCTTGCTTCCGCTGGAGGCGACTGTCCAGACGTGACCTCGTTCCAAGATCACCATCTGAACAGATCAGCCACCTCGGTTGGCTGAAATCTGGCTCTGATTTAGCATGAGCCCTAGACCCACCGCACGTCCATTTCTACATCTGTTTATGGATGAGAATAGGAAGTCCCTGACTGACATGGTGTTGCCCTTGCCCTGAGGATTCAAGCCCATCAACTTAGCAAAGCACTTATCTAGTACTTCCTGGAACAGGTTGGGGGCGACATTAGCGCTTAGCATCCCCTGACCTACTTCCTCCAGCGGTGTCCAATTAGAAGAGGCTAACTGCTCTCAATTCGTTTTTGGAATGGGGTGATAAATGTATAAACAAAGTGTCTGAAGAATGCCAGTTATCTTAGGTGAGAGCCCTAGTTAGATCTGCTACTGAACCAGGATTGGAATTTGTACTGACGTGATAGAACTGGAATTTAAATTCACACCTGAATTGATCCCACATGTGAACAAGGCTATCCATTTGCAGGACTGCTTACAATAGCAAGAGACTGGGAGCAACCTCAAGTCCATCCCACAAAGAACTGGTTGAACAGATAAACAGTTAATGTGCATATGCTTGCATGTATGAACTATGTGTCCCTCTGCTTATATGTATGTGTGTGTTGTGGGGTGGGGGGGACACTAGGGTTCTGGAGGTGTCTGGGAGGCAGGGGAGGTGTCCATCTCTGTCAGATGGTGGCAGGATAGGGCATGACTCTCAAGGACAGTGGCATCCCAGAGCTGCGAATTGATGAGCAAGCTAATGAGCAATTTGACGGGGGTGGGAGGAACATGTACACATAGATAACTCTAGAAAATCCAAAACCACTATCCTAAGACTATCCCCTTTCCGAAAGGGCCTTTTCAAATCTGCTAAGGCAGCACCGGGTATGGGCTACCGGGCGAGGCTTCTGGGTGGCTCCCTGATGTCACAGCCAGTTCTGCCACTTGCCAGCTGGTTGAGCCTTTGGCAATTTACTCCCCTTGGAGCCTCTGTAAAGAACAGTGACGTGACTTAACGCCACACAGGTAAGCCTTGTTTTTTATATCATTGTAGTCAGTATTACTCTTCAAGAAATAACCCTCTTAAATTTAGTAACTGGAACTCTTCCAATTAACCCTGGCAGTTGCTAAAATTACCCTTGAAGTGGAACCAGAGGAAATTACTGGGGGAGAAGAGTTGCAGATCAGCAAGGAATTGCATCTGTACGTGAGCTCCTCCTTGTGGTACTAACACAAAGGGCAGCCTCTGGAATCTTCTGGTGTTGCCATCATTTGCTGTCCTGAGGTTCAACCGCAGCCGATCCACGAGGGTCTAGCCTGGGCCCTCCCTGGGAGAGGGGTCTATGCCCTCTCTACCCCTGTCCCTCATATTGAAGCCCAGCCCCTGGTACCCCCAGGCCCAGTGCTTGGGACACAGCTTGACACATAATAGCCTCCCAATATGACATTACTGAAAAACTGAAAATAAATGGATGATCAGTTTGAAAAGCCAAAAACGGGTCTGCAGATGGGTGGTGGGGTGGTGATGGTTATACAACAATGTGAATAAACTTAATGCCACTGAAGAGTGCACTAAAAAATGGCTAAAATGTAAGTTTTATGTTACTTATATTTTACCACGATAAAAAACTGGATGAGGTCTAATCTCATCTTCACCTGCTCTTAGTTCTCCTTCAAACTCCCTGACGGCTCCTTGGTAATCTCCTCATTAGATCCTGTTCTCTAAATCCCCTTCTGGACCTCCTCTATGCTCCCTTCCAGCTGGCATGGTGAGGCCCTCAGCTCTGAACACAGCTGTACCCTGAAACTCCCTGAAGCTGGTGACCTACAGCCCGCAACGCCCTGAGCCCCAGGGGCCTGCTTGCCTCTCAGTCAGCACAGAGAAAGCCAGGTGCCCTCCTGCTCCACGGCTCCTTCCTCCTGGGCCTCCCTGTCTCCATAAACAGCACCTCCTCTGCATTCTCCAGTCTCCCACCCAGGTGTGAGCTGAGCTTCCCATCCTCCCCTCACCCCCAGTTCCAATCCTTCCGCCATCCCGTTGCTCCTTCTCCAAAGCACAGCCTGCGCCCCACCACTGGCCTCCTCCCCCTCGCCCACCTCTCCATGCCACCTTCTGCTCTTGCTGACTGGCTGCCCTCCCAGCAGGTGGTGGCCAAAGCCATGTTCATAAAAGGCAACTCGGGTCATCCCTTGACTGCTTCAAACCCTCTAAAACTCAATGCTCTGGGGATGATGTCCAAACTCCTCACCCTGGGTAACAAAGCCCCAGGTGCTCTGGTTCCTGCCCATGTACCCCACCTGTGCTAGACGGTGGGCCCCTCACACACCCGCCAGCCACACTGGCCTTCGAGTGCTCCTCGCCCCACATCGGGGCCTTTGCCCTGGCTGCCTGCCCTCCTCCTGAGCTTCACACAGCCGCCTCCTCCCACTCCCTGCTGGTCACCTCCTCTGAAGGCCTCACCCCTGCATCTCAGGGGGCCCTGGTCACTCTCGTTCATCCCCCTGTTCTTTGGGCAGTGTGGTCACTCACTGCCTGTCTCCCTGGCTAGAAAGGTCAGCCAAGTGGGCTTGTCTACCTTGCTCACAGATGGCTCCCCAGCTCTTAGAACAGGCCTGGCACAGAGCAGCAGCTGTGCAGCAGTGAGTAGGTGACCAATCAAAGCAACGGAACCCAATGCCGCACAAAGGGAGCCTGCAGTTCAGAAAGCCGCCCACAGGCAGAGTGGCAGAGACTGATGAAATACACGGAGTGGGGGGCAGTCCCAGAACCCCTGCAGTTTGCTTAGAGGAGGGCCCAGCGGAGTGGTGATGTGACCATCAGCTCAGGGCCTGGAGCAAAGACGTGGCCCGTGTGTGTGCAGGGGGCCTGACCTTCAGAGACAGAGCTCAGCTCTTCACTGGTGCCCCCCACCCACACTGTGCTGTGTGTGAAAAACAATCCTGCGACTCATACTGAAAGAGGGGAGGGAAACAGCTTGAAAGTCACAAAAATATATTAAAACAGCCATTTTCTTCTCTCAGCACTGGCTTTCCTTCCCAGAGCCCCATGCCCGCCACCCGCCATGAGCTTTCAGAGGAAAAGATGCCCAGGGCAGGAAAACGGAGGTGCCCTCACTGCAGCCAGGGTCTGGGGAGGTCCCTGCAGCCTGGGAGTGAGAGCGGCTAACAGTCTCTACAGGCTCGACGCCACCGTCGACGAGGGGGCCGCTGGGAGGCCGGAGGTGCAGGAGGGTCGGGCAGGACGCAGCGGACAGTCGGGCCTTGCCACAGGGACAGAAAACAGAAAAGAAATGAACAAGTGAAGAGAGGGAGAGAGAGGCTGAAGTAGTGGGAGGAGGGGCAGAGGAGCGAGGGGAGGGCGGGGGGAGGTCAGCAGGGTGAGGGTAAAGGAGCCCCTCCGGGTGACACCCACTCCGAGAGGCTGAGGAGCTGGCGTCTGAGGCAGCAGGAGCTGCTGAGAGGGAGGGAGGGGAATGCAGGTGAGGAAAAGGGCACTTGGCACTTGGGGGAGGTAGAAAAGTTGGTCCTGCCAAGGCCACAGTCAGAGGAGAGAACAAAGGACACAAGAGGACAGAAAGTCCTAGTGCAGCAAGGCCAGGCCACAACGACCATCTTGGACTCAGAGAAACTGAGGCCGGCTTGAATGCCTGGGGAGACAAGCAGTGTCATCCGGAAGCCGGCAGAGAGGGTGGGCCTGCCCTCGCTGAAGACTCTGATGGAGCCAGAAGCCTGGAGAGGGGCCTGCACCCCGCCTGTGGGCTAGAAGGTCCTGCGGCCCAGTCTTTTGAACACGCTCACAGTGCCCGCATGGTCCATCTGGGCACCAAGGCCCTCGCTGGAGCTGCTCCCCCGGGGCCCCACCAGAGTCCTCTTAATGGTGACCTTGACCTCAGCCGAGGACTTACTCTTGGTGCTCGTGACCTGGCTGTCCTGGGCCTCGGACGCAAGGGCAGCTTTGCCCAGTCTCTGGATGATGCTGCCTTTGGACAAGGACTCTGGCTTCCTCTCGAGCCCAGGGCGTGAGGACAGGGCCAGACGCCGCAGCGTTGGGGCAGCGGCCGTTGTTGCTGAGCTTGTGGCCATGGCTTTGACAGTCAGTGCCATCTGGGGACTGGCCTTGGCTGGGCCTCGGCCTAGCTTCTTCAGGACCCCGGCGTACTGCAGGACAGAGCTGCTGCTGTCATTATCACTGTCCCAAGCTAGATCCTCGTCCATCTCTGGGGTGGCCCCCAGACGGCTGAAGACTCCCGTGGGCTGTGGGGGCCAGAGACAGGATGTGTGAATCATGCAGTCACTCAACATGCATACACGGAGAGCTGCCTCATCTGTGCCTGGCCTTACGGAGCGCCCATTTGGGAGAAGCACCCAGCGGTGACATCCTAGATAGTGGTGACAGCCAAGAGAGGGTAAGTCCAGGGAGCTGGTGGAACCCAGAGGAGGCTCCAGACACTGCCTGCAGTTCAGGGAGGGCTCCCTGGAGAAGGGACATCTGTGATGAGAACTGACAGTTAACTGGAAGTGGGTCTGATAAAGAGGGGAAGGAGAGAGGGTGTGCCTGGCACAGGGCACCAAGGCCTTCAGGTGGACTGCAAAGGTCTTCAGGTGGACATGACAGAAGACAAATCTGGTTATTCACTCAACAGACATTTTCTGAGTCCTGGCTCTGTGTCTGGGCCTGTGCTGGGTGGTTCTGGGGACACAGTACTGACCACGGCAGCCCTGGCCCTGCCCTCAGGGGGGTGACAGTCCACTGGGGAAGACAGACCTGCCATCAGAAATGACAGATAGTTCTCTAATTACAACAGTGATGTATTCTCTGGAGGATAGGGAGTGCTGCACAGCAGGCAACAAGGAGGCCTGGGCCATCTCAGAGTGCAGGGAAGCTTTCTGTGAGGCGCAGCCCTTAGACCAGGCCTTTGAGGATGAGTCAGCAGAGAAGAGAGTACGCGCTAAGTCCCCACGGCAGGAAGAAGAGTCGTATTTATGGAGCACTTGCTATGTGCCAAGCTCTCTACATGGTACTCAGTGTTATTTTATGCTCAGGGTAAGATTCTAGAATGTGAGAAAAAGCAGAGGGAGTGAGCCTGGGGAACAAGGGACCGAGAGGTAGGAAACACAGACACCCCAGCACCGCTCAGACACCCCAGCACTGCACAGATCTGTCTCCCTTAATCCTCACAAATGCCCGAGGAGGTAGGCGCTACACAGATCGGGAAACTGAGGAACAAGGGCTTAAGTGATGGGGCTAAGGCCACACAGCCAGGCTTCATCGTGAGAACAGTCAAAAGCCTCAGAGGGGTCCTCAGGAGGTGGCGGAGGCCTGTCCTGTGGGCGGCACACACTGCTGCTATTGGGGAAGGGCTGGGGTGTTCAGGGGAGCTGCACAGAGACCAGGTAGGAGGCCACCACCGTATGCAGACAGGGAAAGGGGGCAGAGCGGGTAGAGACAGAGGGCACCATCGGACTCAGGCCTGCCTGGGATGGAGGTGCTGGGGCGTCTGTGAGATGGGGCCCAGCTGAGGAGTTGTTTTGGGGGAAGATGCTGAGGCCAGTTTGAGGTATGGTGGTGGTGGGAGGGATCCAAGGTAGCATTCAGGAGTTGGCCAGACCCTTGGGACTGGAAATCAGGAGAGGTCAAGATGGAAGACAGACAGAAGCTGCCAGTGTAAAGAACAGAACCGAGGCTATAAAGGTGGGTAAGGTGGCCCAGAGTGTGCAGTGGGGTGACATGGGAAGTGTCAGAAACAACCTCCAGGGAAGACTGAGGGCCTCATATGACCCACATTTCCAACTCACTTTATTCCCCGTCGTAGTGTCTGCCTTGATCTCGGCGCCCAGGCGGTCAAACACGGATGTCCTGTGGAGACCTGGGAGGGAAGTGAGGGCCTCGGGCAGCACCTGCCGAGCAGCCCCTGCAGGGCCCCCAGGCCAGGACAGGCCGAGTGCCATGCAGACACGGGTAGAGGACTGGTCAGCCTGGACCCAAGGGCTCTGGCACTGGCAGGCACGGACTGGGAGAGGCCGGTTTTGTGAATATGCTGTTGGCTGACACTGACCCAACTTGTACACTTCTGGCTAATGTCAAATGTGGGAATGATCCACTGAAATGGCCATTTCTCTTCCTTGTACAAGTTCATGAAGTGTGGGTGTGGAAAGAGTTCTTAATCCCTACTCGCTTCTTATACTCTTTTTCGGGTTCTGGGCCTCTGAGAGTCTGGTGAAGGGAAACGAGCCCTCTCCCTGAATAACGACCCTAACAGCCATCAACAGGAGACTGCTTCCCAAATGATGACATGGTACTGCTACGGAAATAGTCAACGGCCACTTAAAGGGGCCCCGTGTCCACATGGGCTAATGTGAAAAGATCTCAATTAAAAAGTTCTAGAACAATACCTACAGGATGATGCTACTTGTGTTCAAAAAGAAAAAATGTCTTTACATATGTACCCATGAATAGACATGCATAGTTCATGGACATTGGCCTGGAAAGATTAACAGTAGGTACGGGATGTGGGAATGATGAGAAAGTTTGTTTCTGCTGTATATGCTTTGGCATCAGCTACCTGTTTTCCCATGAGAACACATACAATTTCCAAAAGGAATGCCGTAAGGAAGACCATCTCCATCCTACCAGCTACAAACCCCAGCTACGGACTGAGTCTCAACCAGACCTCTCCAGCTCACAACAACGGCTCCACTTTTTTGGGCACCTGTACTCAGCCAGGCTCGGTCACTCAATCTACAGGCAGGTCCTCGCTGCATCCATGCCCCTGCCGCTCAGGGACGAGGTGCCGGCTGAGGCACCGAGGAGCCCTGCTACGCTACCTGCGGGACGAGGGGCAGAGGAGGTGCTGTGAGCTCCCACCTTTGGCCACCATTGCTGTCCCATTGGTCCAAGGCCCCCTGGATCCCGTTAGAGGCTGTTTCTCAGCCAATGCCTGTGGGGAGTGACCAACCCTGCATGACACAGCAAAAGAGAAGTGCAGTCTCCACACCAAAGTGTGCCCCTGCCAGGCCAGTACCTTTTGCAGCCTGCTGCTGCTCCAGAATCTTGCGGGTCCGGGGGGTGGTGCCTTTGGGCATGTTGATGATGTATTTCCCTTCCATCTCAGCAGTGACCCGGCGCCGCTTGGTGGGAACAGCCAAGCTCTCCTCCTCCCGGCGGGCCAGGGCTGCTGGGAGAGGAAGTAGTGGTGAGCACCTTCTGGGATGGAATGTTCTCCCAGGGTAAGGGTTGGATGCCCTGCAAGGGGCACACATGTGCCCTTTATCTCTACATGCTCACATAACTGGAATCCCTTATCCTCCCACCACCCCCACTGCCAGTGACTCTGAACCACCGAGAAACTCAGAGGTCTGGGAACAGTGGGGTCACAGAAGGCACTCAGAATCCCCAGGCTGTGGCGGGCCTCCCAGACTCTCTGCAACTCTGTCCCTGCCCTAAGCAGGCTCACTGCCCAGCCCAGCCAGAACCCCTCAGAGGGGAAACTGCTGCTGGGTGGTGGGAGAGTTCTAGAGCTCCATCTAGATAGTGCTTTCACAGGTATAATCACTTTTTTAAATTAATCGAACTGTATACTTACAATCTGTATATTGTACATAAGTAAATTATACCTCAATTTAAAAAAGAATCTCCTCATATGTGTTGAGGGGTAAGAGAGCTAGTCCTTCCCAGGCTCACCATCTTTTCAATTCTTTAGAAATTATTTTAACTTTCTTGCTCACTGCACATAAATGAAAAGGCCACAAGGGGGTGAGGCAAACACACCCAACAAAAGGGGAGCACGTGCGATGGAGGTGGACAGGGTGTGATGGGGCTGGGTGGCAGAATAACGAAGGCCTCAGTGTCCACTTGTGCCAAGATCACTGCTGTGGGGATGGGTCCAAAAAGGCAGGAGAGCGCGGTGGGCAGAAGGAGGGCTTAGAAGCATGAAGGCCAGAGTCCCATTCCCAGCTTTCAGGCTGAGAACTGGAAGAGGAACGGCAGCCAAAAATGGAAAAGTCTGGGGAGGAAGAGCACTCTGGAAAAAAGGGGCATCAGGACAAAGGCCCCAGCAAGGGAAGGAGCCTGGAGGGGACCCGAGGCAGTGAGCCGGGGAGAGACACGCAGGAGACAATGCGGGGCCCTGTGAGGCCACATGGGGGGATGACTTTATTACTGGAACAGTGGGAAGCCCTGGAGAGTTCTAGACAAGGGTGTGAAAGGATCAGATTGAAGGTCTGAAAGGATCCCTCTGGCTGCTGAGAGGAAATGGTAGCTTCTTTACCTTTGACCCCAGGCATCAAGCACAGGGCCGGGCACCAGTGCGGGGCTCAGTGAACATCTGTTAAAAAAGACTGAACCACCCATAGTCAACAATACTGAACTGTACACTGAAAACGTTGTTAAGAGGGTAATCTCAACACTTAAGTGTTCTTACCACATTACCATAAAAAGTAAAAAATAAAGACTGAACTAACCACTGAGAACCACAGTGCACCCATGCCGCCTAAATACAGCATCTCAAGTGCTTCCCACCATCCTCCAGGGTGGCTGTCACCAGCCCCAGGCTACAGATGGGGAATGCAGGGCCCACCAGGGTGCAGGGGCTTCACCAAGTCCTAATGCTTTGGACACTGTGGCCTTCACAGCACCTTACTATGTCGGGAAAATGACCCCCAAGTACCTTCTGCCAACCCACGTTCACCTCCAGCTCCTCCCACCACCTGCCTGAGTCCCCTCACCAGCAGCCTTGGTATTCTTTGCTGCCATTTTGTTGGACACAGTGACTGAAATCTTGGAGGTGCTGGTGTCTGGCCGCCTGGGGGGAGTGCCAGGTGGAGAATCACGGTTCAGGCTGTTGGCAATCATTCGGGAGGCGGCTGCAGGGGAGGAGAAGGGAGAGTCCAGTCAGGTGGGGCCCTGGGAAGGAGGCCAGGATGGACAAGCCTGGGAACTGAATGGGGAAGGGGTGGCCACAGTCCCCCTGAGGCTGTACTGAAATGATGGAAACACGAGGGGATGGGTTTGTCTTCCCTGGAACTAGCCCGCCCCTCCCTGCTGGGGGCCTTTCCGGAAGCCCTGGACCAGACTGGTTCCTATCACACTTCACCCATCAGCTACCCAGCCCTGGCTGAGCTTGGCCCTCCCCTCCCCTGCTCCTCTTCAGCTAAGCTGACCTTGGGATCTTCCTCACCCGGTAAGCACCTGACTCCTCAGGGCGCCTGCTGTTCCCACTGCCTGGCATGCTGTTCCCGAGTACCAGTGACCTTACTCTGGCTCTTTGTTCAGGGCATCTCCTCAGAGGAAGCTCCCAGACCACCCACCAACCTCTACCACCCTCTCCCTACACTATACTTTCTCTTCACAGCGCTCATTACTGCTTGGCATTCAGTCACAACTGATCGTTCACTGGTGGGCTTTCCCACAGACACACAAGCCCCATGGGCAGATGTTGCCTATTTATCGCTATATCTCCAGTGCCCACAATGGCTCCTGCACTTCATAGGTGCTCGATATACATCCACTGAAAAGATGAACATTATCACTGACATTCCCCACACCCCTACTAGCCAGGATCTACTGCAAACCAATTTTATAGAAATTGGGGCACAGGGAGGGGGCCACTCAGCCAGTCCCCCAAGCAATGTGGATCTGGCTCCAGTTGGGCTGTGCAAGAAAAGCAGTGACCTCCCTTGAGGTTGGGGGGCAGTCTACAGGGCCCCATTTTCTGTGGAGCAGAAGGAGGGATGTCCCATGGAGCAAGGTGGGAGCTAAGTGTACAGACCAGAGGGCCAACCCCAGTGCCCAGTGGGAAGGAGCCAGGTCTTCCGGTGCAGTTGTGCTGGCTTTAGGGATCAAGTTTCAAAAACTATTGGGGAAGCCCTACAGGGAAGGAGGGGAGATCCTTCATACTGCCACTGCTTGCTGACAGGCCCAGTAACCCCTCCCCATCAGATTTTGGTATTTTGTTCTACCTACCCGCCAAAAACTCTCCCTTTTCCTGCTATGTGCTTTTTCTGAAAGCCCCTGAAGTCCCCCCAATGACCCTCAACACATTATTAAAACTACATATTGGTGTTTTAAATTATTAAAACTGAAAATTGGTGTTTTAAGTTATAACTACAGTACACAGAAAAATACATCAAACCTATGCAGACCATTTAGCAAAATATGAACTTCCACGTACCCACCACTCAGTCAGGAACTGGAACATTCCAGGCATACAGAATTTGGAGATTAGCCCTTTCCAGTCAATCTCCTCCTTCCTCCAACCCAAAAGAAATGGTCAGTTTTCAGCCCTGCTCACTCCTCTGTTAATGACTGTTCTATTCTCCCAAGGCATTTCCTCAGGTTGCTCTGAAGGATAGGGTGGCTCTGTGATGAGTGCTTGTAAACCATCTGGCTGTGCAGAATCTGTCCTGGGAAAGCCTCCATACACAACACTGTGCCGGACAGAGGAAATATGATTGGAAAGGTCTTCTCTAAAAGGCAAGCAGTTGAGAGGACCCTGTATCTTGCAGGCCCAGGAATGTCTTGTTTAAAAGGGATCAGAGATACGCTGTTGCATCATGACAGGTAAACACCACTTGCGTGGAGGGAAAACAACTGTCCTTGCTCTCCTGACTCCAAGCTGCAGTCAGATGTCGTACACACATAGACCGAGGCCCATATTCCATATTATAAAGTATATACAAATGGCCATACAAGAAATGCTGTTGGGAGTACTCTTTCCACCCCTTTCCTTCTTTGCCTGTATCTCCTTATCCTCTCAATTGCCTATTTCTACACTAGTGCTTTTGTTTGTTTAAAATTCATCTTAAACTGTCAAAGACATTCAAAATGGTATAGAAAGTACATACTATCTGCTTTCATTTATACAGATTTGAAAGACTGAAAAACTCATCTATGCTGTTAGAAATCAGGCTAGCGGGTACCCTTGAGAGGGGGCAGTGAACGCTGCTCATGTTTCTGTTTCTGGATTTCAATGCTGCTGGTAACATGCTGTTTCATTTGTGAAAAGTCATTCAGCTGTACCTTTAGGATCTGAACGCTCTTCTGCATGTAAGCTGTGAAGGCTGTTGCCGGCGAACCCTAATTTGTTCCGCCTCCCTTTGTCCGTGCCTTGGGGTAGGCCCTGCCCACACTGACTCGGGCTTAGCCATGTGACTGGCTTGGGCCAATGGGACAAGAGGAAGCGTTACACAAGCAGAGGCTTAAGAGGTGCTCTGCACATTGGGGCCTGCCTTCTTGCACTGCTTTTAGAAGCCTGCAACCTCTGTGGATGAGCCTGGGCTAGCCTGCTGGAAAATGAGAGACATGCGGCCAAGTCTCCCCTGTTGGCCCAAATGACATCAAGCCAACCATCAGACAAGTGAGTAAGGTCATCCTAGATCACCCAGCCTCAACCAAGCTGCCAGGTGACTACTGAGATCAGAGCTGAGCTGGCCCAGAGCAGAACTGACCAGCCAAGTCATAAAAGCATGAGAAATAAAAGTCTTTGTTTTAAACGAGTTTTGGGTGGCTTGTTAAGCAGCAAAAGCTAACTAATGAGCACATTTATTTTTAAAAAGCTATCATACTCCTGAAAAAAACAAAAGTATAAATACCGTCAATTCTTACTGGTGACAGATTCCATATTTGCAAATTCACCTATTCACTATTCACTAAAATTTATCTGTAACTCCCAAACCAATACTTTTGGTGCTTCTGCGATCAATCATAGACATGCACAGAATGGTGAAAAACTTGAGTCGCCCAACACACACACTCCCAGTTGGGGCCAAGCAAGGTGACGTTCTGCCTGCTTGTTTCAGCTCTTGGACGGGAAACAAGTATCCTTCTCATGGTCTATTTAGTGCCACATTTTTTCAGTTTTGTGTTTTCTTTGGTGATTCTGCTATTTAATATGGTCCCCCAAGCACAGTGCTGAATGGCTGTCCAGTGTTCTTAAGTGCAAGAAGACAGTGATGTGCCTTATGGAGAAAATACGTCTGTTGGATAAGCTTCCTGCAGGCATGAGTTATAGTGCTGTTGGTTGTGAGTTCAGAACACACATAAAATAAGATTCTCTATTGATCAGCTGGTAAAATGTGACCAGAAGCTTGCAGGACCCTAGCCTGTATTCTCCCCAGGAGCAGTGATTCAGTATTTGCTAATTTAGTGTTTGATTCCATATTCACTAATTCAGTGTTCACAGTGACTTGACAGAACAGAACGACTGCCAGTGAAAATGGATTGTATATACTGCCACTCACTCCCAGTTTATTTTTCCCTAAGAAGAGTGCCTCAGGTGGTTTTGCTTCCGCCTCTGCCAATTTCAGTTGTGTCCCCTTCCCCGCTGGAAGGTAAGAAGAATGGAAAGGGGCCCTGAATAGATGGGACTCACCACTAGAGGTGCCTCGGCGACTCTCGCCTGGGAAGGGGCTGGAGCTGCAGGGCACTGACTCAGTGGCAGCTTTGCACATGTCCTATAAAAAGATAGGTGCCTAGGTTACCATGGGGACAAGGGCATGAGGTGGGGGAAGAGGGGACCCAGAAATCTGAGCAATAGCGAGGAGATCAGAGCCTGAGCTGCCATGGAAGAGATATCAGAACATTTACGGCTAATCATGAGAAAGCATCAGACAAACCCAACCAGAAACATTCTACAAACACCTAACCAGTAGGCTGCAATACTGTCACGGTCATGAAAAACAGTGGAGACTCTGACACTGTTGCAAAAGAGACTAAGGAGACACGATAAATAAATGCAAAGTGGTATCAAAGACCATTAAAAGGACATTAGGTGGAAAAACAGAAAATCCAAATAGCCTGTGGTTTAGCTAATAGTAGCATATGAATGTCCACTTCCTGCTTTTGACAAATGTACCATGTTTATGCAAAGTATTAACGTTAGAGGAAGCTGGGAGGAGGACATACAGAAGCTTTCTGTACTACTGTTGGTACTTTTCCAGAAAGCTAAAATTGTTCTGATATCTAAGTTTGAAGAAAAAAATTTCTGCTCAATGACATCTGTGGTAACTGTCCCTGGCTTGAGAAAGCCCTCACTGTGGCATCCTGTCCTGGATGACAGGTGAAGGCCTGTCCCAGGGATGGAGGGAACTACTAAAAATGCCAAGAACGATGCCAGCAGCCACTGTTTGGCAAAGTGGAGTGCTTGAGAGCGCCACAGGAGCAAGTGTCTTTCTTGGTCACGTGGAGTGAGGAGTAAATGAGTTAATACATATAAAGGATGGAGACAGGGCCTGGCAGGCCACGACAAGCACTTGGTAAGTGTTAGCTGTCGTGGCTTAACAAGCACTTCATTCCAGGCCTGGCACCTGGTGCCACATAAACTGTCTGGTAGGTGACCACAGCTACCCTATGCAGCAGTAGTGTCTGAGAGACTCAGGGAGGTAAAATCACTAGCCTAAAGTCACTGTATGTGGAGGGCCAAGAATGGAACAGCCACCAGGTTGTTAGCCAAGTCACCAAATTGGTCCCACATAGGGAGTGTCTGTCCTGGGGACAGAGGAGGGTCCTGGTAATAATTATCATGAGGAAGATGAGGACTAACAATAATAATTACAGAGAGCCTTCAGTGAGGCCCTACTGTTTACACTGTACTAGGCCTCTATTTAACTCAACACTTACAACCACCCTGCAAAATACATTTGCCTATCTGCACTCTGCAAATGGAGAAAGTAGGGCTCAGAGAGGTTAGGCAACATGCCCAGTGTCACACAGCAAATGGTAGAGGCAGCCTTGGAACCCAGATTGGCCTGCCTTTGCTTCCAAGCCTCTTATTAGCTCTGTCACTGCCACTCCCCCACCCCAAACCCAGGGATAGAGTGGCTGGGCAGAGCACCCACCTGGCGGTGCACCACCTTGGCATGCTTAAGGATGGCGATGATGTCACCCACCACAGTCACACCCAGTTCATTCATGATTTCCTTGTTGAGATCCAGCAGCATGCTCTTCTGGATCCTGCAGGGGAGGGTCAGCTATGAGTCCATGAGTGGGTCAGGGTGGGTGCACCAGCCAGCTCCCTGCCTCCCCACACCTTTCCCCGCCTCTCCCCAAGTTCTGCTGTCCCCTGGGCCCCCTTACCTATTATCCACAAACATCACAGCGTAATTGACAGCAGGCCCTGGAGGAATTCCGGCCTCCTTAAAAAACTGGATCCACTCGGAAGTGGCTGGGGGAGGTGGACAGGACTCATTTTTAAATTATTCTCTCTAGAGAAGAGCAGCAGAAAAACCACAAACAGCAGCAGCTCCCACAAATTAAATGCTTACCACATGCCAGGCCCTGGGCTGAGTGCTTTGCATGGATGATGGAGCTAAGCCAGCCCAACAACCCCATGAGTGCAGCATTACAACTCCCTACTTTGCCACTGAGGAAACTGAGGCAGGGAGAGGTTGGGCACCTCACCCCAGGCCACACTGCTGACAAGAAGCAGGGTTCCCAAGCCCATGTGTTTCCATATAGCCCTTCTTATGGCTCCACCCTGGCCTGGAATGTGACCTACATGCTTGGCCAGTGATTGGTTTGGAGGAGCTGGGACTCTGAGTTCTCTGCCCTGGTCCCCATCAGTGGGCTCAGCTCCAGAGGATGACAGGAACAGCAGGTAGATGAAAAGAAGGGTCACAGAGCCGGCCCATGGGCATCAGCAAGCCCCTTCCATGCCACAGGAGCAGCCCTGCCTCAGAGAGAGGCATGAGGATTGCAAACACAGGCCCTGGAGCTCGGGTTCAAATCCCAATGCTGACAGTTCCCAGCTGAGGGACTCTGGGTCAGGTAATGCTCAGCGCTTTAGTTTCCTCATCTGCAAATTTAGCTAATACATCGAGCAAGTATCTACAGAGCACTTGGCTCAGTCCAGCCCTGTTCTAGGCACTGGGCATACCACAGGGACACTGTCCCTTCCCTCATGGAGCTGACATTCTAGTCTTAAAGCACCAACATCCTTGGGTCCCTGTGCAGGTTCACTGAGAAAGTCTACCTAAAGGGCTTTAAATGACACGGAGCTCAGAGGGTGTCTTCAGCCCCAACGAAGCTATTATTATTTTGCCACCACTACACAAGAAGCCAAGGCCAAAGCCAGGTAGACACCACCCAGGAAGCTGTATTTTTTCTATACCTCTTTCTTGGCCTCTTGGGTGTGACCTTCAAACTGACCCTGACCTTGGTCAGGTCAGGTGTCAGATAAGATCATCAATTCCAAGTAGAACTTTGTTTTCCAAATTCTAGTATCTCTAAACTTGGATCTACCTCACAATCAATGGTGTGCTGTGGTTTAACTGGCAGCATTTTTCTTCTTCCTCATGGTACGTAACACTACATCCAACAATCCATGCTATTTTAGATTAGAAGAAATCTGGTATCACAATGCCCATTTTGCTTATAAGAAAGAATACTGAGGCTCAAGAAAACAAATCCTACCATTTGCAACAATGAGTATTGCAAGAGGGTATTATGTTCAGTGAGATAAGCCAGGTGGAGAAAGACAAGTACCAAATGATTTCACTCATCTGTGGAGCATAAGAAAAAAGCAAAAACTGAAGGAACAAAACAGCAGCAGACTCGCAGAACCCAAGAATG